CAGCCTGCAAAGCAATGAATCTAGTATGATACAATCATGATAATCATGATACAACCATGCTGGAGTACGACCCTGGTTCAGCCAGAGCAACAGACATGATTCAACATTGATGCCAGTCAGGGCTGTATCAAAATAGACATCAGGCTTGAATCATTGATTTTGGGTAGTGGCCTGTATCAGAGATGATAATTCTTGGCTGTGGGAAACATTTTGATATCACGTGATGATTGACCTACCGTACCCATATGCATGTGCAAGGCTTTGCAGGCTTTAAAGCAGACCCACCCCTAATCTAGTTCCACCTACTATCATTAGCTAGTTTTCATCAGTTTCATGCAGTTCTTGGCTTAACTAGCCTGCTGGTGAGTCCCTACATACTTTAAGCACACAAAATCTACTAAAATCTTTTGCTCTATTGTCAGGTCTGTCTGCAATCATTATTATCGATTTGATCATGAACCAGGGTCATGGCAGCCATAGGGGTAGGAACAAACTAAAAGTTGGGGGGGCTAAGGTAATATTTTTACAATTGATCATTAATACATAGCATGTACTGAAATTAATACTGTCCAAAATATTGGCGTCTATGCTCATTAAATGTAACAAATTCCTTTACAATGTCCTCGATGTGTAAATCATGTGTATATTCTTTGTGTGTATGCAAAATAACTACATGATTAAAACATTGTGGAGCGCAAGTAGTTTTTAATCTCCTTAACGTTGAAAATGTATGCTCAGCTGTAGCTGATGTTAACAGAGTTGTTAAATAAAGAAGTAGAAGCTTGTGTATTTCTGAAAAAACTAATAAAAGTGTGTTCTTAGAAGTTAAACTAATGTATTAATTGTTTTACAAAACGAATCATCACACAATATGCACACATATAAGGATTACCTAAACTAAAGTCTATAGTGTTGATAATAGTAATGCATGTACATCACTTAAAGTTGGAGGGGCTAAGCCCCCCTTCAATGAAAGTTGGGGGGGCTTAAGCCCCTCCTGCCCCCCCTGTTCCTACCCCTATGATGGCAGCTGTAGTCTATGTAGGAGGTATTGGTCTAATGTAAACGTGTTTACTTCTGGTGTAGCAATCCTTGTCCTTATTTGGGACTCTCTTATGTATTTTGAGATTCTCTTAATGAGATTCTTTATATCAACTGGAGCAGCTGGTGGGACCAAAGGAGTCATCCTTGATGTATTGTATTGTTTGATATTTTTCTCTTTTCCCTTATTTGGGTTACTGGCTGACGTACATGTTGGTAGGTACAAAGCAATCATGGCTGGCATAATACTCTGTTTCACATCGTGGATATTTTCAGGGATAGGTTTTGTCATTTACGGTTTCTACACTAACAACACTCTCCTTTTATTTTTTTATGGGCTGGCTTATATCACTGCGGTTTCTGGCTACACGAGCTTCAAGGCTAACATTGTTCAGTATAACATTGATCAACTTGTAGGAGCATCAGCTGATGAGTTGAGTGCAGTCATATACTGGCATTCAGCGGCAGTGCCTATTTCATTTGTTATTTTTCAGTTGATACGATGTGCAATTATTGGTAATTACATTTTTCTGATAACATTTGTATCTGCTGGATTATCATTATCTGTTGTACTGGTCTCTCATTCATTATTCAAACACAAACTGGAGAACGTATCACTGATCAAGAATCCAGTCAAACTGATAGTTAGAGTACTGTGTTATGCCAGGAAGCACAAGTATCCTGAGAATCGTAGTGCTCTGACCTACTGGGAGGAAGAGACTCCTTCAAGACTAGACTTAGGGAAGCATAAGTATGGTGGACCATTCACAGAGGAAGAAGTAGAAGATGTGAAGACAGTTTTTCGGATGCTACCATTATTAATATCTGTTGTTGGATTGACAACTAATGATGAAGTTTATCACTGGATAATGTCTGGAAATCAAAGTATAGAAATAAGTTATGGGTCCTGCTTGATATCAACTGAATTTGGAAAATTTTTCACCTCAGTTGTATTTTTTCTGTTTTACCTTTTGATATTCCAACCAATATTTAAAAGATTTATTCCTAGAATGTTGTTAAGGATTGGAGTTGGCTTAGTGTTTGCTGTTTGCACAATGTTTTCAAAAACAGTGATCTTCTTTTTAGTACCACCTGATGCTTCCTCTGTAACACCTTTTACTACTCCACTCCTTTATATTCCACAATTCTTTTATGGTGTAGCATTTGTATTGATAATTGCAGCTTCATTGGAGTTCACTGTAGCTCAAGCTCCAGTACAAATGAGAGGAATGATGGTTGGAATGTGGCTTGCTTCAATGGGAGTTGGTTACCTCATTAACATCAATCTTAAATATGGTTTTCAGTGTACGAACGAATTTATGTGTACCAATCCATTTTACTACGCAGTGAAAAGTGTCATCACTCTCGTATTTTTTAGTTTGTTTTTTTGTTTATCAAAAAGGTATAAGTTTCGTGTAAGAGGAAATGAGATTAACATTCACAAAATTGTTGAAGATCATTATCATAGATACATGACACAAAAGGATGCTTATGAGGCAGCGCCAAGTGATACAGTTATTATAGAAGAGGAAACACCACTTATATTTTAATACTTTACTTAATTATTGGCTATTATTTTTAATTTATGAATAATTATGCGTGTATGTATGTATTTTTGAATTCCAAAGTATTATTTTGAGTCTATGCATGTAGCTTATAAAACTCTTGATTGAAACTTTACTGCAAGGCAGTTAAGACAGCTGCAATGATAAAAGCAACAAGGGGCATCATCAATCCAATAGCTCCATTAGTAGTGCTAGTTGGTGGCTCAGTTGATGCTATAAAAATAATCATTAAAACAGTGAAAATTAAAGAGATTTTAAGTACCTTCAAATTGACACATTTGAAGACAAATTTGGGATCCAAAGAGCCCAATGGTTCTTGGCCCTCCAAATTCTGCTGGTGAAACAAAAGACTCCACTTCCCCTTCAGTTGCAAACCCAATGTAACGGCAAGCATCAAGATTAATATCTTCAGTCGCATTTGGACTTATAATTGGACGAGTGAAGTTAACTGTGAGAAAACCATCATTCAAGGAAATCCTGACATTTGTGAGATCCTGATTAACATCAAACTGTGGTCCACCAGAAACTGACACATTTGATATCCACCTATCGCAATAATGACAATTTTATTGCATAATTTTACCACTATTAAGTTACCTAATAAAATAAAATCAACGTTAATTTAAAATAATGTTAAATTTTATTTTATTTTATTATTGCACTCTTTCTTTATCAGGTCCAGTGAGCGACAGGTGCTACTCTACAAGTATAAATCACTTGATTCCCCTTTGTCTACTTTACCATTTTAAGTGTCTCCTGCTACAATGAAAGTTCATTACGACCCTGACATTCGCTTACTTTATCTCACTGGAAAGGTAATGGACGTACAGTCCATCAAATTCTTACTAG